CGACAGCCTGAAGCAACAAGAATCCTCCTCCTCATTCATCACTGCCAGCTTATAGCTTCAAATCTGTACGTAATATTACGTGCAGTGTAGCTGAAAACATGTAGAATAAGTTAACCTCACCATTTATTGGTCAATTAGTGTAGATCCCTTTCGCCTCTTTGTTGCCTCGTAGAAGCTTTGACATGTCCAAAGATGTATGGGATGTACATTTCACATTTGTACATGTAATCTGCAATGTGATCGATAAATGTAGTCAGCTAAGCTTCGCTCTCGCGAAAAAAGAGATTTATATAAAGTGACTTGCAATGAAAAGTAGCAGCAAATTACACACAGGACCTCAGTTGCAATTTACACTGGATACTATTTTTTTTCTTTCTTTAATTAGGCTCTTTAGCCAAAACGGTTCTTGAGATTAGCTGAATTCCTTATTTTGGTTTCTAAGATTTAAAATCAATAAAACTGATCCCTAAATTTGTTTACCGTCAAACATTTTGGTGCTTTTGTGAAAATCTTGGTAAATTAAGATAAAATAACAAAAATATCCTTAATTTTTGTCAAATCATTTTGGCCTATTGTTTATTAAATTGAGAGTATTTTTGTCGTTTTGGTCTTTGTTTAATAGAGATTTTTTACGGAATAATTGGCGCTGGACAAATTTCACGAGCATTTCTATCAATTTCAAGTTTCAGGGACCAAAATAAAGAATTATGTCAATTTCAAATACTATTCTTGCTAAAATGCCTATTAAATAACCAACACCGTTGTTATGTTTGGATCTGTCTTGGCTTCCTCCCGAATCATTATGTTTTTATTTTGTGCATATATGTCTAGTCATCATGCCCCTTATGCCCTGGATGACACACGTGCTACAATGATCGGGACGCATGCAAATACAACTTATTATTTATTTTTTTGCACGAGTATCAAACTATGATCGACGGGAAAGAAGAAATGTGACTGTTTGAAAAGAAAGAATTTAAGATGCGTCTATCTAGTGTTTATCAGTCTTAAATATATTTAGAGGACGTCAAAAGAAAATTAGAAAATTGGAAAAAAGGTGCATCGTTCAGCTTGCATCCCACGTTCAACTGCTTTCCCCCGCCACAATTATTTTCCCAAGCCCGTCTAATCCACGCGCCCTGCCTAAACCGCAACTTGATATTCTCACGCGAAGCCAACAGCCAAGCAGTGCGTGCGCCCAACGTTTCGATCAGCGCGTGGGTATTGTATGTCGGATTTTGAGCCGGCCCAATCCGGGGGCGTATCCGGGCCCCACCCCCGAACCGGTCCTCACCCACCCAACCACACCAAATGATGCCCGATGCCTTTTTCATAAAACAGTCATTCTAGAGAGAGAAAGGAGAGAACTTGAGAGTTCACAGAGACCAGAGAGAGAGAGAGGAAGTGAGAGAGTGAGATCGGCCATGGCTTCCCCCAAGGAGAGAGAGAACTACGTCTACACTGCTAAGCTCGCCGAGCAAGCCGAGCGTTACGACGGTATCATCTTATTTCCCTCACTCTCTCACTATTTTTTTTTTTGGATGATTTTTTCGCTTCAGATTTCGTGAAATCAAAGCCTTATAATCTGTTTGGCTACTCAGAAAATCAAAGAGACCAGAAAAGATAATTCACTTTCAATTGTCTTTCCCTCTCTTTTTTTTTATTTTTTTATTTATTTTTGTGTAATTTTATTTATTTCTGAGAATCTGAAGTTCTTAACTTGGACACTGTCAGGAAGAACTTCTCGCAGAATTGATTTTGATTTAGTAAAAAGAATGAGATCTGAGCGTTGATTTCTTTATTTTTCATGGAATTAGGGTTTTGACTTGCATTTACTTTATCTTCTGCACTTTTTTTCTTTGCAGAAATGGTGGAGGCGATGGCGAAAGTAGCGAAGCTTGACGTGGAGCTCACCGTAGAGGAGCGGAATCTGCTTTCGGTTGGGTACAAGAACGTGATCGGAGCTCGCAGGGCTTCGTGGAGAATTCTGTCCTCGATTGAGCAGAAGGAGGAGGGGAAAGGGAACGATCAGAATGTGAGCCGTATCAAGGAGTACAGGCAAAAGGTTGAGTCCGAGCTCTCCAGCATTTGCAGCGACATCATGAGGGTTATCGATGAGCATCTCATTCCCTCGTGCACCGCTTTTGAGTCCACTGTGTTTTTCTACAAAATGTGAGTGGTTTTATGTTTTTGATTGAGTGTTTCGGAGTGGATTAAAGTGTTTGGCTTTTGAATGGTTTATTCTGTGTAATTGCAGGAAAGGAGATTACTATCGCTACTTGGCGGAGTTTAAGACTGGTGATGATAGGAAAGAGGTTGCTGATCAGTCAATGAAAGCTTATCAGGTATAGTAAGAGATGGTCTTTAATTAGAACTCTAATCAATCAATGAAAGCTTTTGGCGCGTTTGTTTGCTAAGTATGGGGGACTCGAAGAGAAAAGAAATCGGCTTTATGAATTTTTTGTTACTCAAACAAGCAAAAAGTAAACCTTTTATCTGCTGTTAATATTGGTACTAACTAAACTGGTATCTTCTTGTGTTGAAAACGACTAGTAATGGTATGATTCATTTGCATTAGGTGGAATTGTGTTTCAGACATGGCAGCAATGCTGATCCTTGCATTGAACTACGTGATTTAATGGTGTGGCCGGCTATATCCAAGTATTAGGTTAAGTTCCTTTTCGTTAGATTAACGAGATGTACGCTTATCGTACTTGTTCACATTTTGAAGCTACTCCTTTCTCCCAGACCCTGCGTAAAGCGGGAGCCTTGTGCACTGGGTACGACCTTTTTTTTTTTTAGCCTATTATTGAAATGAGGCGGCTATGTCCATTTTCTCTCTTTAAACTATTGCTTCTGGCTGTTCTAATTAGGATTTTATATCTGACACTTAACATTAATATGTGTGATCTCATCTATGAGTAATGAGGATTGCGCAGAGGACACTTGAAATGGTTATACTGATTTTGTTCTCCGGGCTCCTGTAATAAACTGTTATTACTGTTCTGTAGAATATTAAGATGATTGTATACGTGTACAAATAATTGATTTGTCACTTTGGGTGGTTTGTTATGTTTTTCAAATTTGCAGGCAGCTTCTAGTAAGGCAGAGAGTGACTTACCCCCCACACACCCCATCAGACTCGGTTTGGCCTTGAACTTCTCTGTCTTTTACTATGAAATATTGAACTCTCCGGAAAGGTATGCGTGCTTATGTGACCAAGATTCATGATATCACTTTTTTTCTTCGTTGGCAAAAGCAAAATTTGAAGGAATAAATCTTATTAATTGCACATTGGTGCCTTGCTCCAGGGCTTGTCACCTTGCAAAGCAAGCTTTTGATGAAGCTATCTCAGAATTAGATACTTTGAGCGAGGAATCGTACAAGGATAGCACCTTGATCATGCAGCTTTTAAGGGACAACCTTACTTTGTGGACCTCTGACATTCCAGAGGATGGAGGTAATGATTTTATCTTTGTTTCCTTGTGGATTGTGGCTTTCTGGATAATGTTAGGTTATGCGGTTTAATTGTTCCCGACTTGTTATGTAGTTTCATCAAAGTCATGCGATGCTTGTTCTTGACTATTTAACTTTTGGGTTGTCTTTTGAGGAATCAGTATATGTCATTGTGAGATGATTGTCTCACTATTAGTATATTACAATCATCAACACAATGAGAAATATTATAAGTAAAAGTAGAACAGACTTGTGAAAGTAGTTTGATGTTATGTGTCAATGATGTAAACTATGTGTATGTTTCCCTTTTGTTTCCCATCTCGAGTCTGGTTAGATGTTCAATCGCTATTCCGTTTTAAATTGCATTTTGTGAACAATCCAGAAATATCGGGTATTAATATCATTCTTTGCTACAGCCGAGGATATCCAGAAGGTGGATGGCACTGCTAAACCTGGAGGTGAAGATGCAGAGGTATAGCTTATTTGGTCATCCCACTCCCACCCATCATTTTGTTCTTTCATTTTTCGGCCATATCTAGCACGCGTTATAATTATTTGGTTTCCGGGTCTTCAACATCCTTCTTTTCCTTTTCGTAGTGAATGGAAGCGGCCTATGGCTGGCCAGGGCTTGTGTAATTTTATGGATGGAGAAAGTCGATGCAGGGTCTCTTTTCTTGTGGTGTTGTTAATTTTTCTCCGGTGAGATTCTAGTTAAATGTTGTTGTTCTGTTATTGTTGCGGTTGTAGTTCCCTCTACCCCGAAACGCAGAATTCATCTCTCAGTGACTTAATGTAAAAGCTTTCTTCTACATATCTAAATTTCAATCCTCTGTTTGTGGAGAATGTGATTTATTTGCTGAATGTTTAATTTGTTTTCTTCCTAAAATTAGAAACGTTATGGATATGTTTCTACCAACGGAACTTTGTTTAGCCTACGTATGGGTCAATAAATGGGAGTATGATTTTCTCCCCTCTGTTTTTCCCTCCCCTCCTATTTGAACGGTTACTGTTAAGGCATGTTAACATCTTATATTAATTTTTTATAGAAAAAGAAAGACAAAATAGAGAATGAGAGAGGAGGTCCTTACTCCCAATAAATGATAAAGACCGTTTCTAAGTTACTTCTAATACTTCTTTTATTATTGAACTAACAAAAGATTTTATGAAAACTAAACAAGTGCATTTTTTCACATAAAAGAAAAGAGAGACTTATCTCCACTGCTTTTAGTTGGTTTCGTGAAATGGTACAAAAATTATCATAAAATCTATTTTCATGTAACATTCGCTACATCATAAGCCTTGCGTAAAGTTATTTAAAAATGCTCAAGATGACGGAATTTTGCTCTGGCTATTATCTCTTTTATTGGTAAGTAGTAACTAGACGGAGAGAGTTTCAAGGAGCTAAGAGCGAGTCAAAATAATTGTCTTAACCACAAGTAAAGAAGGTAAGAAATGACAACCTCAGAAAAATAACTGCTAACAAGAAAATCAAATAAATCCCGTCCTATTTTCTGTATAAAAAAAAAAAAAAAAGCCATCCCCCCTCTAATCTGCACATATATAGTCCTCCTCTGATATCCAAGCAAGCAAAAAAAAAAGGCACGAAATTTAACCTGACGATGGCTAATTCCAATAGTATCGTTCTTGTCTCTGCCCTTTGCTTCTTGTCGCTCGCCGGCGTTGCATACTGCGGCGAGACCCTCAATGTGCACGGCATTGTTTACTGCGACAACTGCCGCATCCAGTTCGTAACCAGAATCAGCGAGACCCTCAAAGGTACGTATGTTCAACCTACTGTACCTGATGCATTGTCTGTATATAGTTAAAACTTAAAAGTTAATATAAAACAAACTAGATTGATACTCGATATCAGACAATTTCTTTTCTCTTCCCTTACATTGCATTGCATGCATGGAATGGTACGTATGTGCAGGTGCAAAGGTGAGATTGGAATGCAGAGAGAATGAAGGGGGAAAAATAACTCTAAGCAAAGAGGCAGACACCGACGACTTAGGAACTTACTCCATTCCGGTGGAAGGAGACCATGAAGAGGAGGTTTGCGAGGTGATCTTGGTGAAGAGTCCCAAGGAGGACTGCAGCGAGATCAGCAACGAGCTTCATGTGAAGCTCAGCGCGAGGATCAGCCTCACGAATCACAACGGCATCACCGGGCCTCATCGCATGGCGAACCCTCTCGGTTTCATGAAGAAGGAGGTTGATCCTAAGTGCGCTGAGGTCCTCAAGGAGCTCGGACTCACCCCCGATGGCGACATTGATGATAGCAGTGCTGAATAAGCCATCAATAATTTTACGTACTTAAACAGTAGGAATCGATATCCCGGCCTTCATTTTTCGATCATGTGTAATCAATAAATGGGTTTTTATTAATTTCCCCTACTAATCCAACGTGATGTATGAGAGATGTAAAGTATACATCGATCGGTCTATCGATCTGCGGTAGTAGTACTTAATTAGGGGTATATTTTTGTTAGGGTTAGCTGCAATATTCTTCAAATCTTGATTAATTAAGTGGCTTGTGATCAGCTGCTACTCCTTTTTTCTACATACACATACACACACACACACACACACACACACACACACACACACTTGGTCTGGTTTGGATCATTTGCTTGAATTATTGGTTTCAGTACATATTCATTTTTTTTCCTTTTAATCACGACAAGGTTTCACGCAATCTCCTTAATTAATTATCTGCTTTAGTTTTTCTTCTTGACATAATAGAGGTTAAACCCTTTGATCAAGGACCTTAATGAATCTTGTTTATGTTCTTTGCAAGGCCTAACCATAAAAATTGAGTTTGTGATATATATTACCCAAGTTTCTCCTCCTCAATTGGTAGCTTATACAAAAAGAGTTTGTGATCATAAAGTGCGTATAAACAATAAAGCAAATTCTATTAATCTATGGTTTCTGGCCATGAAAAAAAAGTATATGATTCCTTGGCCATTCACAGCAATGTTATTCTCTTTCTTTGTATATGAATCAGAATATGATACTATGTGCATCGAACTTAAGATGACGGAGGAAAAAGTTTGTGTTATTTTAGACGTGGGAGAGTTAAAAGAATGAATGATTATTTAATTAAGAAAAGTGATTGGAGAATTGGTAATTCATGAGTTAAAAGATTATTACTGTGGTTATGTCCAGAAAGTGGATGTTTTGCACTTTTCAGGTTGTCCATATGAACACCACTTTCATCATTTGACATGTCAGTTTGGGCCCGTAATTATATAAATTCGAAGAAAATGCAACTTTTGCATAAAAATGCTCTCCCTTCTCCCACAAAAGTGATTTGAGCCATTTTTCATAGAAATCTGCAATTTACTAATAAATGAGGGTTCTTTATTTTTTGTCTTTTGGGGTTTAAAGGGGTTTTATTGCTTGTCTTTTAGTTTTCTCTAGCGAGCTTTTATAATATGTTCTTAGGCCTCGTATTGGGCATCTTTCATTCAATAAAAATTCAGAAAGCGAGAATTTCTCTCACAACTTATAGTATTCCAGAAATTCTTTCCAAGGGTAACTGAGATTTGTAATCCCTAAACCTAAACTTCCGCCAAGTCATAATGGGTGGAGGAATAAATTGTTTTTAAACTCATCATCTTTATTAGTTACAATTACAAGTGAAGAACAGGAAAAATAGATATGTATAAAGACCGCATGCTAGTCAAACATAAAGGTAATATGGTAACTAAATAACCATTTGCCATAAACTTTATCTATCACAACCAATCTACTTTCTCCCCCAACTTAATTGAATAATAAGTGAACAATGTTGCAAATCAGCTAACCAAATGAAGCTACAATCTAGACCTTGAATTGTGTTCTTTTCAATTTCCTCCCCAATAACTTATGCAACATCTAACGGATGATATTGTAGGTGCCCTTATAGGCCACTCTGTTGTTATTAATGATATGTATTAGTTCGTTTGAAATATAAAGGTAATATATAGTAACTGAACAATCATTTGCTATCACAACCATTTTACTTTTCCTCACTCTATTATAATTTGAAGTAACTTTCAACACATCAGAACTTTTGTAGGTATACAAAGCTTGAATACTCTTGCATACGGTTTAATATCTTAGCCAATAAAATATTGGGTATCTACTCATGCTTTTCAAGTTCGAAACTCTTCATTTTTCTAAATTGTTGTAATAGTTTCGAACCATCCCTATCTCCTTAAAAATAATAACAATGTATATATATGTATAAAAACTTGAAAACTCTTCATCACAAAGGCTGTGTTCTATTAATATGATTACATTTTTCCTCATTACATCACAACCCAAAGAATTTGAGAAGTTGTGAGTGACCATAATATTCTCATGTAAGGTCGATGTCTTAGTTTTAGAGGATATTAATTAAATATAAAAACAAAAACACATTTGTTATAATTTAAGTAAAATAATAACACCACCTAATGTTCTAAGTAAATTCAAAATTCTTCGATCATATAGTTGATATGCTATAATCTAAAGTATAATATTAATAAAAATGTACAAATGTATAAATAAATTAATATCATGTGACAGCGTGACTGTAGTCTAATATATAAAGTGTATACTTCGTGAAGTGGACAGTCCACTAAATGACCCATAAACGAAAAATAACCCGATTAATCTAAGAAACCGGGTGCCCGCTTCCCAAATTATATCACCCGCATACGAGAGAAGAAGCCAAACCCGCTTGTGTCATTTCCTTCAATTAGCCGCCGCAACTCGCCGTCAGTGTGGTTCTCTTTGCCTTCCACCGCTCACTGCTAACAAGTACGTTCCTTTTCTGCTATTCAATTTTCCTTTAGTTTTCTTGTTCGTCAAAATTTAAACTATTGCAAAAGTTTCATTTTTTTTGTTTGATTTCTTTGAGTTTTTAATTTCATCATTGAAGGCCATGGCGGCAAGGGCTTCCAGAAAATTGCTGAGAGACTTTTTGTTCAAAAGGGCATGCGCAGCTCCTGTTGCATGTGCCAGACATTGTTCTTCTGCTGCTCAAACTGCCCCAAAGATTCCTCATTTTTCGAAGAAAGTACGCTCTCTCTCTCTCTCGTTGCAAATAATCACAGTGGAAGAACTGTGAAACTTAGTGTTAATTTTTTTCCAGTAAATTTGCAAACCCATCTTGCCAAATTGCTGTTTTTCACTTTTCCTTGCTTACAGTTTTAATTTTGGTCGATTTTTGTTCAACGTCTTGCATGTTTTAATAGATTTTTGTTTGATTTTCTGAAGTGGTGTGTGTACTTGTTTTGAACCTGTAGGGGAGGTTGTTGACGGCAGCCACCTTAGGCTTAGTTATCGGTGGCGGAGCTTATGTGAGCACTGTGGATGAAGCAACTTTCTGGTACCGAATTTCATTTTTCGAGTCGAAGTTTTGCTCTGTTTGCATTTGAACTTTCTTTCGGTTTACCAGTTGCGGTGTTTACGTTTATTTCCAATGACTGTTATCTTAACCAAGCATTCTATCAATGAGAAGATTATATTCGTAACAGACGTAGAACTCTTTCAAGGCAATCTTGGATGCTTGGATTTTGTATATTCTGGTGCTGCATTGTTTGAACCTGTGTGAGTTTTGTTTTGGAGGAGGGCGAATTTCTGTAGATTTCTTGTAGTCACCTAAAAACTTTGGAATTAATACTCTTTTAACTGTGAAATCATAAATTTCTCTTGCTAAGTTTATAGGCGTCTTGAGGCATTAAAGAATAAACCTTCTGTTTCCTGTGATGCACATTACTTATTGGTCAGAGTGTAAGGGTGAAGCCTTTCACTAGATACTTGTATCTGTTTCTTTACGGGTTTAACTAGGCACCTAAAGGATCAGTTAAAAGCATGAGCACTTAATTCTTAATTCAGTTATCTTCGTATTTTCTTTTGCCAAGATGGTATTCGACCCCATCATGATGTCTGGGTCTTGGTGGATGCAATAAAGACTGAAATTGGAATTTCTTAACTCATTTGTAATTTGATGGTACTCATTAGGTAATAAATTATGAATTGCCATCTCGTTATGTTCTGCATCATTCTTGTCATGACAGTATGTTTTTTCTAGTTTGTACTTATTTCTGTGTATGAAGCAGAAACCACATAAGCCAATTCATTTATCAGTTTATTGAATGGCTTAAGTTTTTGTCAAATATTGAACTTAAAATTTAGTTACATTTATTGCTAATTTTTGGATATCAACTTTTTGAAGTGGCTGGCTATTCTCAGCTACAAAAATTGTGAATCCATTCTTCGCTCTTCTTGATGCTGAGGCTGCTCACAGATTGGCTGTCTCAGCCGCAGCACGTGGTTGGGTTCCTAGAGAGAAGAGATCAGATCCATCAAATTTAGGGCTAGAAGTTTGGGGAAGGAAGTTCTCCAACCCTATAGGTCTTGCTGCTGGCTTTGATAAAAATGCTGAGGCAGTTGATGGTTTGCTTAGTTTAGGGTTTGGATTTGTAGAGATTGGCTCTGTAACCCCTGTTCCGCAAGAGGGCAATCCAAAGCCTCGTATCTTCAGATTGCGTGAGGAAGGGTAAGAGTATATTTTATGTTCTTATTATGTTGTTCTGATTAAGGCCTGAATTTCCTCAAGTATGTTGTGTTGAGTCACTTTTAAAGGTGGTGTAGGTACTTTGGCTCCTGAAAGTTTTCTTTCTGATAAGTTGGCTTGGTTCCATTTATTTTTCTAACTTATGTGTTATCAATCTACCTGATTATGTGTTCAGAGCTATCATCAATCGATGTGGCTTTAATAGTGAAGGAATTGTTGCTGTTGCAAAGCGATTGGGTGCTCAACACGGTAAGAGGAAGTTGGATGAAACTACAAGTTCATCTTCTTCAGGTGAAGAGGTCAAACCTGGAGGCAAAGCTGGCCCTGGCATATTAGGTGTGAATCTTGGGAAGAATAAGACAAGTGAAGATGCTTCTGCTGATTATAGACAAGGGGTTCATACATTGTCGCAGTATGCTGATTACTTGGTAGGTTTTTCTCTACCAACCCAACTTGTATAACAAGAATTCACTTTTTTCCTTGGTACCCACAAATGCATCAACTTCATTGTGATGCCTGTATTAGTTTAGTGGCCAACATCTAATAAGATATGTTGTTATTGAGTTGGTTATCCATGCAGAAAAGCAAGGAGAGATGAATTTTGAATAGGCCTCCTTCTTGTGGTCTTTAAGTTGATTCATTGATTTGAAAGTTGCATACTTTCATACCATCTTTAGGCTAGCCTTTCAGATCTCACAAATTGTACAACAGAATTGGTCAGGTGGCCAGCAATATTCAGGAAGTCCAATTTTATTTACTTGAATAGGATATGAACAATTGAACTTGTATCTGGAAATGATTCAGATTAAATGTTATAAAAAAGTAAAAGTTGTTCAACTTCAGCAGTGAAAGCTGAATTCGTAGTCGGTTGGAATCTGTGATTGCTGAACATCCAATTCCATATCATCATGCATAATCGTCCATGATTCTTTATATTAATCCTCAGAAGTTAAGTTGTCGGTAATAATTTCCAAACTAAAAGCAATCAGGTTTTAGTTTCTGTGTATATGTGTTGAGTTCAATTCCTGTTGTATTAATTCGACCAAACTTATGCTTATCTGCCTGCAGGTGATAAATGTTTCATCACCAAACACCCCTGGGTTGCGTATGCTTCAGGGAAGAAAGCAGTTAAAGGACCTTGTGAAGCAGGTATGGAGCTCAAAGCATGAATTTTCTATTTTTAGTAATCACAATGTCTGCAAACGTTAGCTCCTGTAACACTTTCTTCCTATCAAGGTTCAAGGCGCTCGTGACGAAATGCAATGGGGTGAGGAGGGTCCTCCTCCATTGCTTGTGAAAATTGCTCCAGATTTGTCTAAAGAAGACCTTGAAGATATTGCTGCAGTATGTATCCGTGCTCGTAATTGATTTTCTTATTCACCCCATTAACATGGTTTTCTCATGGTTCTTTGTTTATGGATATAGGTTGCCCTTGCCCTTCGCTTGGATGGATTGGTATGTTTTCTTCCAATCACAAACTTACCTATTATACTAGATTAGCATTTCATATTTCTTAATAAGAAGAACCTCTACTTAGTCCCTTTCGTTCCTAAAGAAAATGGAGAAAGTTAACCTTAGTCAGTTCATGCTGGGTGTGGTGTTCTGCATGTTGATATGTTGATGAGGTTATGATTATACATAACATATATATCTTTCAGTATATTGGTCTATACTTAAATTGACTGCAATTTCTTCTACTCTTTATGATGTTTATTTACCTTTTCTTCTAGATTATATCAAATACAACTGTTTCAAGACCAGAATCTGTTCGTAAACACCCGGTGGCTTCTGAAGCTGGTGGCTTGAGTGGGAAGCCACTTTTCGATATGTCTACCAATGTCTTAAAGGAGATGTACATTTTGACGAGGGTATGTTGTCTCTTCGTAACTCATGTAACCTGTTATCCACAATATTTACAGATTGCACTTCTTTATGATGTTTGATTACTTAAATGTTTGAAGGTGCATGAAGAATTTTGGCCGGATATGTCATTTCTGTACTGATCTTTCATCCTGCTGTGGCTTGACTACAAGAAAAGTTGGACTATTGATAATTCTTCTCTCTTACATTACAAAGTATAGAATTATGAAAGTAAATGACTTAAAATGGATCGTATCCTAGTTTCATGTAGAGTAGCTTGTCATTGTTTTCGGGTCTGATGACTATGTGACATGCACTGTAATTCAACTGATGCCAAATTGATTTTCTTTTATTTACTTGCTATGGAAGGAAGTTTGTTGGCTTGAAACATGTAGTCCTCTTTCGGATCTATGTGAACTATTTGTTTACAGTCAATGTTCTTCCCTTTTGGTTCCATTTATACGTTATATATCAGAGCTTGACCGTGTTAATGTAAATATCATTCAGGGAAAGATTCCTTTAATTGGGTGTGGAGGCGTTAGCAGGTAAGATCAGAATCGTCCCTTGATCTTGTCTTCGTTGACATCTATTTATTCAGAAATAGAGATTCTCATATTTTCAAATCTTGATCATTATTTTGTCAAACCTGATCTTGTTTATGCCATTAAATTAGTGGTGAGGATGCTTACAAGAAAGTACGAGCTGGTGCGACTCTTGTTCAGCTTTATACAGCATTTGCTTACGGGGGACCTGCTCTCATCCCCCAGATAAAGGTATTTTCTGATGCGTTCATTCTGCATAAACCTTTTTTTTTTCGCCTAACCTCAAAGACGTGCAGATAACACTTTTATTATTCTTCCTAGGCTGAATTGTCCGAGTGCTTAGAAAGGGATGGTTACAAGTCCATCAGTGAAGCAGTTGGTGCAGATTGCAGATGAGTTTTGCCCCAGGTATGGCAACGCCGAAAGTATAACAAAATATATATGCAGTGCACTTATTTGCGGAGCAAATTTCTACGTTGCATGGTGTAAATTTTGGTTTTTTTAACCGATTTTATTTATTTTTCGAGAGGGCGGTCGGAGAGGACCCTAAAAAGTGCGAGAAATTTTGGAAAGATGCATTATTTGCAGTTTGTACCGTAACCTTTGAACTGTGAATGCTAAATTTAATTGTAGCAAAATGGAAAAGAAAAATCTGTTGCCTTAGAATTTTTATGTACAAATTCAAAACCTGTGTGTTTTTATTATTAAGTTATTGCAAGGTTATTTTATTTTAATTTTTTTTTTTTTTGAACAAAAGAATGAGAAGTTTTTGAACTCAAAACTTTGGATGCATGGATAAATGCTCTTAACGAATTGACCTATAAAACGCTCTTTCAATTCTTATATTTCTGTGTGCTCCTACCTTGAATAAGCAGCCTCATTTTAATCTTAAGAGAAAATGCTAAGGAGGGTCTCTTAAAGTGAGATTTAATGGACTCTCACAGTTTCTCGTCAAATTTCGTAGTAACATTGTAAAATATTTTGCTAAAAACATGAGGTGACGTTCATGGAGAGTTTCATTTTTAGGAGCTTACTCAGCATTTCTCTAATTTTAGACAAAATGGTTGTACGATGTACATGGTGTAACGGAAAAAGACTTGCAATCATTTGAATGTCCTTGGACCACAATTTATTTATTTATTTATTTATTCTTTACCGAACGATAAACCTTTGTTTACACTAAATGAGACTAGTATGACATCATGTCAAACTAAGTTTTATTAAGTCTCATATTTTTGCGAGTAGTGCCCTATGAATCAGATGGTTCATAGTCATAAACTGATTGAGTTTTCGTCCATGGCCGTTGGATTCGATCGTGCGGTTGAAAATGAATGACCGGATGACTTGCTAGGGACTATTATATTGGCAAGTAATTAAAATTTGAGAAGTTAGGATTTTGGTGCACAAAAATGGTGACAAGTAGGGTGTTTTCCAATAAGACAAAACACCCAACTTGTGAACAGTAATATATATTGCCAAATCTTATGAAAATTAAAATTGTCTTTCAATTTCAAAGATTGAAATTCTCGTGTTTTTTTTAATCAATGACGATTTGATCCGTTTAAAAGAAGAATTCAGTAGAAGAGGGGGAAGAAGAAACCAACCTTCCTGTGTTTGAGTTGTCATTCATAGTTTCTCACTTTCTCTCCTACGTCCTTGATGAGAGATTTTTTAGTGTACCGAATCATATGCTTGACAAATTGAAAAATTTATCCTCTTTAATTTAGGTTTTGTGCTCACTCAGCCAATCTAACCGTCCACTTGGTACATGGTCAACTATTTCAGGCCGCATAAAATATTTATTTATGTGCTCATTTGCATGATTGAGTTCGATTCCACAATAATTTCTGTGATTTTTTTTCTTTTCCGACGATATTAATGCCATCCACACATTAATTATATAGGGATGAAAGATTGCAATACCAATTTGTATACACACACACCAATAATTACCATTAGGCTAATTCACAATACACATATTTTTTCAATTTCTTGAAGTTACTAATATATATGGAATATTGTGGAAGAATAAATTAGGACAATATGATGATTCAGCTGCATGGTTGACCACCTGAGCCGCTCCTCCGCCTCTTCAGCACCGGGAAAACTTGGTGAAAACCGCCTTGTTCTGCCGCCACATGCCACTCTTCCACCACCCCATCCAACTCAAACTGGTGCACCACATCTGAACCCTCATATATACAACCCTCCGGGAACCCGGCCATCCCCTGACAAGGCGGCTTGGTTTTCCGTCGCCCGGCCCCCACAGGCACGTTCCGTAGGGCCCCGCCGGCCGTCCAGTACCTCTGGCAGCCCTTGCAGAAGTATCTAGGCTGCTTAACATTGTAGTTATTGAAGTAACAAAATTTAGTCTCCATACTTTTGCATCTTGGGCATGGTATGATCCTATCTGGCCGCTTCTCCACCATTTGATCATCTTTTATGGGTTCTTCTTTAACTTGTGATGATCTGCTCTGCAGTGTAATCGTTTTCCCGAAAAGCTTAATTCCATGAACATCTTGGCCGTTTTGGACCTGAGCCATGGGATTTTTCTTTTCTTTTTTTTTTTTTTTTTTTGAGAGAGAGAGAGAGAGAGATGGTTTATGTTTTGAGAGACATACACTTTGTATGGTTTAAGGAAAGGTGGTGTGCTGCTGCGAATGCTTATGTATTTATAGGGGAAGTGAGAGGATAAAAGTGCTTAAATTAAAAGCGGGATTGTATGTGTAAAATCCATGTGACAGCCGCCAAGAGCTAGGGCAGGTGGTTTGCAAAAGTTGACGGTGAGCTTTTTGTCCACATCATTACTCCACGTCATCATCATGGAGTCTAAAAGTGGATCCCAGTCCAGGTAGGTCGCGTACAAAGTGTTAGTGGTTGATGGATGGGAAGCATAAAGAGACCGATTAAAGCATGTTTTGCTAATGAAAGTTGTCGTTGTGTACATATTATACCCTAAAATCAAAAGTTGTGGAAAAATAAAAAGCAATAAAGTAAAAGTGCTTCTTGTTCTTGCTTTGAGAAATCTCGATGCATTCGGGTTTTTGCTTTTGGTTGATTAAACAAAAGCAATGCTATATCTAATTAGCGACTTTAAACAGTACTAATGAAACAGAAGCCAGAAGCTCTGTATCTGGAAAAACTTTATATATACTTTCTAAGAAAAGAGAAAAAGAAAATATTTTAGTTAGGTGGTCTTAAAGCTAGAGCTTTTTTACAAAGGAATTTTAACGAAAAGCTCCCGGTACTGTTTACTTTAACGAAAAACCACATTTTTATACTAAAAAGTCAATCTTGGTACTATTCACTTTACCCTTTATTTTGTCCTTATCGTTAAAACTCAAAGTTTTCAAACCTTTTTCTTTAGTTTTCCTAAAAAAGCATGGATGGAGAACAAAGGGGTTTCGATATGGTGCTAGCATGATTTCAAAGGTGCCAATTACAGTATGTTTCATCCAGATATCAGTAATCACTTTAAAGATCTATAATGGGATTATTTAATGGATAAAGAATTGATAGTAAAGATCCAATAAACGAGAAAACATTTTTGTATGGTTATTCAATCACGCTATTAGCATGTATATTTATCTTTTACAAAAGCATCAGATTCTTTGTATTTTAGTCTCATTTGTTTTAGCGCTTGTCTTATTTAGTGTGAGAATTGCTCTAATTAAACGAAATTACTGAAATTTCTATTTAGTTGAGCAAGGCAAGATTATTCAATCTAAAAAAGAAAGGTGAAAAGAGAAAAACTATACGCATCTATACATGCCTTAAATGATTTTTGTTGTCCTATCAGATTCTGCCAGCAGTGAGCCAGCATACATGCCTCCTAGGAGGGGATGCATGTCCTACATATATATTACTTTAACTATGTTTTAAGCAATTAGGCGATGTTTAAGGCATGTTATTGGGTCATTCAAGTGGGATATCACTTGTGCTACTAATATAATGTTATTGCTAAACACTTTGTTTCAAAGCCATCTTTTCAGGTTCCAATAGATTTGATGATTAACTTTGTTGCTTCCTTTTGATCACACTTTGACGCTTGACATTGTAGGGTTTGTGGTCCTGGGCACCTTTCAGTTTGCAATAATAATAATAAAAAGCAATGTGAAAATAATGGGATTTCTTTCTAAAAAATGTTAACGAGACTTTCTCAAAAGTGAAGTGACAGATCGAGAGTCCCTTAGCATGCCCTTTTTCTTTAATAAAGGAATCTTTATTCAATTTAAATTATGCAAAAAAGGAACCTCATTTCCAACACTTTTCCTAACCTGCATAATGCAGACAGACAAAGTAGCACAATTCAAAAGTCCCTTTTAGTCAAAAGATTAAAGGATATGTAAAGAACAAACTGATTTAATTGGGGGCATCTTTTTGATGGTTTGGGGTACCTCTTTTTACCTCTTTTTAGGGGTGAAAATGCCTTTCTAGTGTGCCGGTGAAGAGAATAAAAAAAGCATCACAAGAATAATATTGGCATTTCCTTTCTTATAGCCAATTTTGAAGTTGAAATGTTCAAATTATTCCCTTAATTAGTCCATAATTTTCATTTGACAGTCATTTACTTAGGAACTAAACAAGGTTGGAAGGTTAATCCTGGGTGGCAGATGAATGTATATAACTTGCTTCCCCCGGCCATCTGAGAAAAACTTAGATAGAATTGATTGACCATGTCATACGTAGAACACTTCTCACAAAAGTATAAAATATTAAGTGTGTTTTGTGTCCAACGCAATTTAAAAGAAGTTCTCCCAATTTAAGAGATGCCTTAATCAAGCAATTCTACTCGAGTTTCTGTTCTACACTTCCCATCAAATCACGTTTACTGTTGTTAATTTGTAATATCATATCTCCCACTTTTTAAGAGAAGAGATGTGATATGTCCTCTAATATCTAATCGCATATCCCTTCTTGTTATATCTTTTTTAAATAAAGCCAATCTAGGGTGAGTTGGAAAGATTAGTATTAAGCATTGCTCGTTGCTTTGCTGTTAGGGTTTTTTAATCCGTGGCCAAGTTGCGTTAATCAAATGAAAAAGGAAGTCTTCTTTTCTTGTTTCACTTATAATATACTAAATATTGAATTCAGTGTGCCGGTTGGCTGCAGTGCCAGCCAACACCAGATTAATTAACAAATCGTGTTCTACAGATATTTTATATAACACACATATATATATATATATATATATATATATATATATTAAGGAAACTGTAGAGATATTATATAGATACGTTTTAGAAGAAAAGAAAGAAGGTAAAAAGAAAAAGGGAAAAGAAGTCGTCTTTTAAAAGTCTGATGAATTGTATAAAATACTCGTACTTTTCACGTTTCTGTTTCTGTTTCATTTTTATTAGTCTGGTTGGTAGTAGTTTAGCTGCACACGTAGCATTAGTTTGGTATTTCTATGCTTTTACTGTAGAAATAATCAATTGTGAAATAATACGTCTGAAAAATCAGGGCTTTGGGTTTTTGGCCGAATATATTGGACATTCTTTGTTCATACGATGTGATCATCAGTTGAGTGACAAGTCTTTTGCGATGTCATGTTAATTTGTGTTCAAGATGGATCGTTAAGAGAAAAACAGTTGCGTCAACCTAAAACATGACAAGTCTTTTGCGATGTCATGTTAATGAGGTATTTTTTCCCAAACCCTAACACGTACAATACGATTATTAAACATAATACATGGTAAGGACACGATTTACCAGTTTAACAAGCATAGGTATAAATTTTACATCAACATGTCATTTCGTTTTCAATTTAAATAGGTTTTATCATATTATACAGTTTCTATGGATCAAATACGGATTAGCAGGTTACACGATTACATAAACAGTTTATTAATCGTGCTAAACAGGTCAAAATTTATGACGCAAACACAATTATGGCCAATGTCGTTTTAAAGTTTCTAAATTTGGCACTCACAAGAAAAAATGGTTTACTTAAACCTGATTAGCATTTGCCTACACACTTTGTGTGTATGAACACATTTTTTTAGAAAATGAGAAAGAGAGGGAGGGAGAGAGAGGGAGGTTTTTGTTTTTTAAAAAAAAATATAAATATTAGAGATATTTTAACATCACATGTGGGTAAGGCTTCAATAAAAAACAGTAAAATTACAATATTGCCCATCATTTTTTTTGTGTGATAGAAGACTAAATTATCTTTTCACTTTCTTTTGGTTGACAAAGAGGATTTCATTAATTAGTAGAAATTAAGAAAGCAATTTCTCGAAATATAATCAAACAGCAACAATTTATATATTTAGGCATTTTATATAGGGTGGTGCTATCCACGCACCTTTTTTACCTTCTACACACTTTTCTCAATTTTCGGTTGTCAGATCAAATGACAAAAATTAATATGAAGTGTGTGAAAGGTAAAAAGGCGTGTGTGGATAGGACCACCCTTTACATAAATGGTTGCCTCAAATATGTAAAGGGATCAATCAAAATTACTGCACTGGATGGATACAAGATTAGCACCTACACCTAATTACAAAAGAAACTCAAGTTATTCACATATATATAACACAGCCTCGGCCAAGTTTGTGAACTCCAACCAACAAGCGGATTGTTTTTCCCGGGATGGAATAGCCACGATCGAATCAAGTGTCACTCCAGGTATCGTCATCGTCACCTTCATCGCTCCCAACAGCCTGATAAGTTTTGATAAATTGTCAATTTGGTTGCTGTGATGCAAATAATGAGAATGGACAAAAGGCAACGGAAAGTAAAGAAACAGCGGGAAATGGGGAACCTGGCGAATGGCGTTTGCTTTCTCTAAAATTGCAGTGACTTTGAAATTGGTGGTGGGTACTGGTGTGTCGGCTGCCTTAGCTGGTACTGTGCGTCTCAGGTTGAATGACTGGAAGGACGTAAGAAGAAACGAGCACAAAGTTAGCAATAGTTTTGTGGGAGTTTTAACGAAAAGCCCACAGTACTATTCACTTTAACGAAAAACCATATTTTTACACTAAAAAGTCAAACTTGGTACTACTCACTTTATCCTTTATTTTGTCCTTATCATTAAAACTCAAAGTTTTCAAGTTTTTTCATTGGTTTTCCTTAGTTTGTTTCTTTGTTAGTTAGTCTACTCTAATGTGGTTTGCAAGGTCACAAAGTTAGCAAAGCTTTACTACAAGATAAAATCAAGGGAACTTTAACGAAAAGCACCCGGTACTGTTCACTTTAACGAAAAACCACATTTTTACACTAAAAAGTCAATCCTGGTACTATTCACTTTACCCTTTATTTTGTTCTTATCATTAAAACTCAAAGTTTTCAAGCCCTTTTCATTAGTTTTCCTTAAAATCAATCTATCAAGATTTAGTACAACCAGGCCTGCTCTAAGTAATAGAGCTTATATGGATCCGCGGCAGTAGAAGAGATGAGAAAAACCTCGATTTGGCATGTTTCACATACGAGTATGAAACGCTCCAGTACAAAACACAAAGTGACTTATACTTGGAAAGCAGCCAAATGACAAGAAAAAAAGGTGACTCACCTTTGTTCTGATTTGTTGTAGGAAATCTTCTTTTTCGTCCATCCCTTTGCCATTAAGAGCCTGATCAGCTTCTTTCTGCCCATTCAAGTGCTGGTCCTGCTGTAGTTAGAAGAATTTGATAATCTGTCCTTTAGCAGTTTTCACTCCCCCCTATTTCTATTTGAATACCTTTCATGCCTTAAAATAATAGGATTTAATTAAACAAAATGATACCTTGCGTTTTGGTTTAATGAAATCCTCATTCATTTGTTGTTGCTGTACTGGTGGCTTAGGTTGCTGGAGGGTGATAGACCCCAATAGTTCTGCATTTAATGCATGTCGAAAACCTTCGAATGCATCTTGTTTTTCTTCTGTAACATTCGAGGGAGGTTTTGAAGCACGCCATTCCACTGGAGGGAGAGGTGGTGGTCCTGGTGTATAATCCACTGAACATCTCAAACCGGGGAGATCCTTTGGATCTGAATCATCTTTTTGTTTCTTGCTGAAGTACAGGTCCCAAAGCATCGAAACTTGGAAGATCAAGTACAGGATCAGAGAGAGAATGTTCCAGACCATTCTCGGTGTGCACACTTTTACTTCCACCATCATCATAAGTGGCATTATGGGATATTCCGCCCAGTTCCGGGGAGGTGGATATAAGTTCCTCTGATGAGATTCCACATAAACCATCATACAGTCCATGGTTATTTCTTTCTAGAGTTTCACTAGATTCCCATTGTTCAGAATTCGACTCCGAGAGTTGACTATGACAATCATCTGATATATATGGAGATGATCTACAGAATGTGTCATCATCGGAATCAGAACCAAATTCATGCAAGGCAATAGCAGGTTCTGGGATCAACTGAAATGACTGAAACATGTCTCTTACGCTTTCATGGCCTTGATTGCCATCAGATAATTTCAGTTTGAGTATGGAAGTTTCAATGCCATCTACGGGAAGGAAAGATATTTTCATATGTTCAAGTGGTGGTGACGAAGGAGATGAATCAATACCAGTTCCATGCTCAAACTGATCTCTGAAGGATGTCTCCGGAAATGCTTGGTACTCAACTCTGTGCTGCTCATTTTTCTGGTCCAGTACACCAGCATTTGAATAACTAGCTGGCTCAGATCCGTCATCGTGAGCCTGTGCAGCTTTTCTACCAAAACCATTCACAAGTAACATACGACCAAGCCCAAAAACCCGAGAAGAGCTTTCCTCATTCCCCTGAATCGCTTCATTGGAAGTGGATTTTCCATATGGAACAACTGGCAACACAGTCCCAGGTTCCATTGTATCACCAAGATTACGAAGCTTTGGATACAACTCAGTGGGTGAAAATCCGTTAGGTATTTTCTTGAAAGTGATGCCATCATCTTGATTCTCCGAGCATGATATGGAGCATTTAGAACTCAAATCCTTATCATTACAGCCAGCATTCTCAACTAATGGACTATGTTCGCATTCGTGCTCTCATCAACTATAAGCTTGTAAGCATGATTTGAGAGACCCAACTGTCTCACTGTGACTTCTGTTAGCAGAATCTTGACTTATAGAACTTGGCATGGTGAAATCAGGTGGTTTGGATGGCTCAAGTCCTAATAGGCCACCATTAGTCCAGAAATTTATGGAATTATTCCTGGAAATGTCAGCAGGGGATTCTTGAGACTCACATAAACGGCTTGTGATCTCATCCTTCACATTCTTAGTTCCAGAGCCAGAGGGTGTTGAATTATTCCTGGAAATTTCAGCAGGGGATTCTTGAGACTCACATAAACGGCTTGTGATCTCATCCTTCACATTCATAGTTCCAGAGCCAGAGGGTGTTGAATTATTCCTGGAAATGTCAGCAGGGGATTCTTGAGACTCACATAAATGGCTTGTGATCTCATCCTTCACATTTGTAGTTCCAGAGCCAGAGGGTGTTGAATTATTCCTGGAAATGTCAGCAGGGGATTCTTGAGACTCACATAAACGGCTTGTGATCTCATCCTTCACATTCGTAGTTCCAGAGCCAGAGGGTGTTGAATCATTCCTGGAAATGTCAGCGGGGGATTCTTGAGACTCACATAAACAGCTTGTGATCTCATCCTTCACATTCGTAGTTCTAGAGCCAGAGGGTGTTGAATTATTCCTGGAAATGTCAGCGGGGGATTCTTGAGACTCACATAAATGGCTTGTGATCTCATCCTTCACATTCGTAGTTCCAAAGCCAGATGGTGTTGAATTATTCCTGGAAATGTCAGCAGGGGATTCTTGAGACTCACATAAACGGCTTGTGATCTCATCCTTCACATTCGTAGTTCCAGAGCCAGAGGGTGTTGAATTATTCCTGGAAATGTCAGCAGGGGATTCTTGAGACTCACATAAACGGCTTGTGATCTCATCCTTCACATTCGTAGTTCCAGAGCCAGAGGGTGTTGAATTATTCCTGGAAATGTCAGCAGGGGATTCTTGAGCCTCACATAAACTGCTTATGGTCTTGTCCTGCTCGTTAGTAGCTCCAGAGGAAGGAGATGTTGAATTGCTCCTGGAAATGTCAGCAGGAGATTCTTGAGGAATATATAAACTGCTTATGGTCTTATCCTCCAAGTTAGTAGTTCCGGAGCCAGAGGATGTTGAATCACCACTAACAGATTCTAACCATGAACCATAAAAAATGTCAGCACTATTGGTGCCTACAGTGTGGTTTGGATTAGAAGGTTCCATGTCTATCTGAGGCATCTGCTTATGTGTAGGACTCTCTGACAAGGCTGAGTTTGGCAGATCTGTCGGCACTTCTGCTTCGAAGGAAATGTAAGATGTTGAAGTATGAAATTCAAAAGTTGTAGTTTGAAGGCCTGAACAATCGAGGCTAATGTCATGCACCCCGTATGGTTCTTTGTTGCTGACAACAGAGGCGAAATGTTCAACTTCTCGTTTTGTTTGACAATCTAAATCGGTTTCAGATTCTGATTCAATGGTGTTAAGAGCATCCATGAAATTGTCTGGTTCACTTTCAATTTCATCAGTCTGATTCCTGATCAAAATTGATTCCACAATGTTTTCATCAACAAAGAGGGCATCCATTCGCTCAACAATTCTAAAGTTACCAGCTCCGGCTTCATGTGCATCCAAGTCATCTTTTGTTGGATGTATCTCTGTATTTTCATCTATACCATTTTGTTGACATTTTGGATCCACTATCTCTGTTTTCTCATCCCAGTTAACACAAGATGAACCAGAGGTAACTTGATCCTGTAATGAACTTCCAGGAAAGTTATCACCTACAAATCCAGTTTGATCAGCAGGCGAAACAGAATCAATAGTATCATCATGTTGCACCAACTTAGAAGTAGGTGATTCCTTGGATTCATGTTCTTCAGCTTGCATGGAGGAAGTTGGATGGGCAGCATACTCAATATATCCCAACTCAGTTCTTGAATCAAAAGAAATGGAATTGTCTCCCAGGTCAGATTTTAATGCCATGTCTGCTGTAGAGGCAGTTTGAGAAGATGAGCTTCGCCCATTTACAATGGGAGAAATATGTTGCATTCTGCATAGTCAAACATCAAGTATTTTAATTCCAATCGGTCAAAGATGAGAGCCATAAGTCACTTATACATTATGAATTAACTAGAGAATTCCTTTATGTGTGTGTGTCTGTGTAAACATATAGGATACCTGCTACTGCGATTAGATGCTGATGCACCACGCAATACATCTCCATTACGTTGTGATCCTCTTTTCTTCTGTCCATTTCAACATTTTAATTAGACAAATACCAAGTGGCAGAACCATTGAGGTACTTAAGAGATAGAATAATCCATTGCATACAGATAGCAGAAAAACAAGCTCTCTCAAGTAGAAATTGTTAACAATGATAAACTATGCCTGCATCTATCTCTCTTAAGAAAACTTTGGAGTCCTACTCATCCACAATATTGCATATGAAAGCATAAGCAAAGTACGTTGAAATATGAAATACAGATCGTCTAAGAGTGGGCAAAGATTTGGGATGGTTTAGCTCTTCAGTCAGAACTGACCAGGTTGAGGCTTTTCAAACCCAAAAGCAAACCTAAGATGGGTTGGTAATAACTACGTTGCAACTTATGCTTATTTGGGCATTCTTTGATTCACTATCAAATAGACACTCCTGATAACGGTTAACAGTTGCTCATTGTGTTTCCTCAAAACGTAGGTGCATACCTTGCTTCTTTGAGCTTTCCTAGATCTTCGGACTTTTTCAACATTTTCTTCATCAGGGATAGCTGATGCTTTTTTGAAAAAGGTTGGATCTGAATATCTCTTCAAACAAGATCCTGGGCCACCAGTATCATATCTGAACGGTAAAGGAAAGGATTCCATCATGTGACAGTTACTTACACTACTTGTACGCTAATTAAGCTAAATAAAAAAAAATTATCCATGAAATGTAAGCCAATTAAGGTAAAGATAGGTAAATAAAAGATTTCAATCATACTTGTCCAGTAAATCCAAACGTGGAGGATCCCGACATTCTTCGTATGAATCCATAATAAAACGCGGCAAGTCATTGTAGATCAAATGATTTTTCTCATTTCGAATACGAGGATGCCACTCTATACCTGCAAAGCAACTGCTTTCTATTAATGATCAAATTATCAGGATAATGACGTCACACCCATGGAATAAGGACTATAGAGTAAGTATATAACAAAACCATATCCACAATAAAGAATAGATGAAACAACGTCAATCACGAAAGGTTTGTACAGAAGTAATCCCCTCAAAATTATATCCACAATAAATTTGCCGCTATGGTCAGTAAGTAGTGTTCTCCAAGGTTTCCAAGATAATTTAAATGCAACATTGTGTACGGAAAAAATAACCCACTTCTAAGAAAATTGCAGTTCTCTTGTTTACAAAACCATAAAAGAATACTTGCACTAAATATGACTCAACATATAATTCTATCTTCCTAGACTTTCCTTTAAGACCGATTTCGGGCTTCAATAACTGGTTCTTTAATGATTGCCAAAACAAACTTATAATAAAATATGTAATGAAAGAAACCGGTAGCTAAAACTAACCATAGATAATTCCTTTTTCAATCATAAATTAAATTTGAACATCACCAGTATAGAACTGTATGAGAACTTGAAGCTTATTAAACAAATAGCAGTTTGCACAAGAGAGAACAACATCTGTTGATACAAGTAGTTAATATCTGGCATATGATATACAGACATAAAGGTGAGAAACAAAAGCCATACCACCGGTGTAAGCAAAATGTATGTGGCTTGTTTGAGCAAGTACAGCCTTCTCGAGGGAAGGAAGTGCAGCTTCAATGTGTTGCACACGAACAATCAGTTTATGGCTTCTAGAAGCTGTAGTCATCACTTGCTCTTGCAAGCCATGAAAGACCTCTGCTGCAAACCTACATGTTTTAAGTTACTTTAGTACTGTTAACAACAGTTGTTATAAAACAATAATCACTATCTTCAACCTATTGCGTTTTACATTTCGGACTTGATCGCCTATATCAAAGATCCAAAATTTTTGCTTCACAGGAACTGAGTACGGGTCCACTACTCTTAAAAATATGAAACTCACAGCATCTAAATGTCCCCAAACAGGCACAAAATAAAGTTCATTGGCAACTGGCAACTAAGTTTCTTTGACCATGATAAATTGTTACATTTTACCAACAGGAGCTACCACGAAATCTAGTAGCACCCCAAAATGACATTATGCTGAAAGTAGCTGCAACACAAAGCTACCATATTTTGCAATGATTTAAACACCATAACCCCAGAAAACTACAAAGATTCAGGATCCAGAGCTTTTTCAGAAACCGTCAAGTGCCTTGGGAAAGTGATAACTCATGCACCCCAATCCCCATATAGTGCAGTGAGGCATCATACTTAAACAGCAAGGAAAAAACACCTAACATTTAACTTATAATCCCACAACGTTTAATCCAAAAGAAAATGCAATTACCAATGATTTGTCAGCTAATTTCAAAAAATAATAACCACTAAGCAAAACCCAATTTGCCAAATTACAAAGGTTACCAAATTGCATTCACTTCAACCCCAAAAGATGTAAACTTTAGTGTGAATGAGCTGAACCCAGATGGAGAAACAGGCAGAAAACGGAAGAAAATGAAAAAGGGTAGCAAGAAATGAACTGCCTGAGTAAAATTGGAAGGCACACTTACTCGGCAAGATCCCCCAATTGGCGTAAGATCCCAACGAGGCCAGAGACGGCGACGCCGTCGAGCACAGCTTTGGGATCTTCTCTGTTTACCTCCTTGTATAACTGAGGCTGCCCCAAGCTGTACTCGTTCCGCACCTGAAACCTCACCAGCGGCATCTTTTACTTCTTTCTGAGCTGATTTTCTCTTTCTCCTCAGAAAATCAGAGCAAATGGTTTCATAGCAACAAAACAAGCTTCAAGCTTTACAAAGAACAACTTGCAATGAATGAAGGAATGTAATGGAGAGAGAGAGAGTAGGTGGAGAGATTGGAGCAGCTTAACTGCCGAGAGAGAGAGAGAGAGAGAGAGACTGATTTGTGAGTGTGCGAGTGTTTTTGTGTCGTTTGGAAATGAGAAAGGGAGAGGCGACATTGCCAACCCTGCAAGCCATTCTTTGGGCACAGTGGACAAATCATTGTGTTCGCAGAGGGTCGAACTACCTGAACTGCCCTTATATCTTGATATAATTACGCGCTGGCTTGACCTTTGAGAACCAGGATGCGTTTCAAAACAATAAGGGTAAAAGTGGAATTTCGATTGGGTTTTTCTGGTTTTGCATCTTTTTCAATTCTGGCTACAAAAAAAATGTGTGATGGGAGGGTGGCTAGGGATATGAACGTGATATTTCCAAATGTGGATTGAATGGGCGGCAAATTAGGATTAAATGCTAATTATCTAAAAAAATGAATTATAAGTTGTACTGTCCACAAAATTAATGATGAAATGGACCGCTGCACTTTTGCCATATTCACCCTATTGAGTCATTAATATGAACCACAGAGTTGTCAAATTCTAGGTTTGTATTTCACACATTATTTTTTTAGTTCGATTTCTGATACTGGTAAATCACGTGATGGTGATTAGAAGAATGAGGCTGAAATGCCTCTGTTATTCTTTTCGACCTCCAAAAAAATGGAATGTCGTGATGAAGTCATCAACTAATCTTTTTTTTAGAAAAGAAACATTGTGTTTCAAGGGATTCAAATTCACTCGTTAAAAAAGATTATTGCAAATTTGGTGGTTAAATTCAATAATGTATGTGATGAGTCGATTTTATATTATATTTTTTACCCTATTCTTAGTTATAATTTATTAGTTTATTTTGGTGAATTTTGATACTTTGTTATGTATTTTCAATGCAAGACATTCGACTTCCTCTTGTGCATAAATATTCAAACGGATGAATTTTGGAGTGATTCCAATTGGAAATGTTCGTGAGTCTTTCAAGATGATTGTATCAAAATTGCAAATTTTTCTATCAAGCCGTTTGACCATGGCGATGAAATAAAGACCCAGAGCGCAGCTTTCCCAAATTGACATTTCTGTACGTTTTGGGTATTTTGAATGTCAAGATGGTACATTTTGAGGAAGATTCCTTCTAAGGATTTGTAGGAGACATCTTCAGCTTTCAAAAGAAATATTTTGGGACCAAATCGGAGTTTATTTGGTGGTCAAAAGACTAAATTTCTGAGAACTCCGAATTTTAGTTCAAATAGAAAACCTTTTATTTTCTGTTTTATTAATTTAATTTGTTTTCTAATTTTATTCTAAGACATTTTCTAGGTAGGGTTTTATTTTGTAATGGTATAAATAAGGCTTTTTAGCCATTAGGGTTCTCTAGGCAACATAGGAGAGAACGCACACACTAATTTAGAGAGCCTTTGAAGTTTATTTTCAAGATGTTTTCTATCCTTGTTTTTAATAATGTTTTGTTTATGGTTGTTCATAACTAATTTCTGTTTGCTAGGGCGAAGCCTTGAGCCTTAGCATAAATATGTAGTCTTTATTCAATTGCTTATGATATCATGCATGTTTACTTTGAATTATTAATCACTGTGCTTGAACTGTCTCTATGTCTTAATGCTTAGCTACCATTAGGATATTTAGATAAGTAATCGGATGCAATTCGGTCGGAATATCACCGGATGTTTGAGTATTGCTTTTTGTGGTTAATAATTGTAATTTCACCTAAGGTGAATATCACGCTCTTAGGGGTTACATGGTTTTTCAAAAGGTTTTCATAAAATTTAATGAGTCTTGCATGTTCATATTTGATCTGAATATCACAAATAGATTGCATGTTAGATATACGTTCTTGCTTGAATATCACGAGGAGAATATGCATAAGGAAAACCTAACCTTTAAAGTTGCATATGTAATTTATAAGTAATTCATAAAACCACATAGGATTGTTAAGAGGACGGCGGAACCCAAGGCTTTTAACTTTATTTTCAAAACTATTTTCTTTAGTTTTTCTTTGTCAATTTATTTAATCATTTTAAGTAAATTCGTTCTCATTATTTTTAAATTCAAATCAACTTTTTTCCAATCTTTGTTTTTAAATAATTAACCAAGACTTTGGTTTTGCATAAATTGTTTTAATATTCCATGTGGAAACGACCTTGCTTAAGCCGTTTATGCTACAACTACCTTATTTTCTTGCAAGTATTTTTAAGTATTTTTATCCCTACTTTTATAAGTGATAAAAATTCATATCAGTATGTCTTGCATTGATGTACTCTAGAACCTTCTCACTAATTTTCGAGTTTGTTAGCAACAACAGTCGCCGAATCACCCTAAGGCAGTTCTGCATGTGACAACTGCCAATCTGTCACCGGACACTCTCTTTGCAACTTTACAGTGGCTAAAAAACATAGGGTATAATTTTTCATTCAGTGATATTCTAATCCAATCTATTACAATTAGTAGGATTCAAAACTTCTATACAAAGAGAAAAACACACTAACTGAATCAAAGTGAGTACGTTCAATCCTCCAATCACATCCATTCATTGTACATCGTGCGGTCAGAAATCATTGTAAATTGTTTTATTTAAAATTGAATATAAACAGTACCTGACAAAAACTGACCGTACAATGTACGATGAATGAATGTGATTAGAGGATTTCTAGAATCCTCACAAAGAGAATCCGACGAGAATCCTCTCTCCAAATACGCTACACAACTAGATTGGTTGTTTCTCCTTGTTTTTATGCTGATAATCGACCTAACTCTTTGTCCTTGGTACCCTAGAAATCAATTGTGTCTTTAATAATTGCTGATCAAAGATTATATTTTCTTTTTTTTCATGTTCCCTTTAACAAGTGATGAGATGACCTAAGATTCTCATCCAAATAATATATGAACAAACATTTAGGTCCCCATCTTCTGTCTGTCAGTGGGGTTGACTCGCCTCCTCTCAAATTTGGTGTGGTATTGACCTTCAGTCAGCAACCCAAGAATCTTAGTTAGCTTCCACTCCACCCCCAAAATAATGTAACAAATTGAAGACTTTTGTAGGCTTATTTAACCGAAGAATTATAAAGAGAGGGATGCGGCAAGCAAAGGAGAATTTGGTGTAATCTATATTATCTCATCACCTAAAATTTGATGTGGGATTGACCTCCAAACAGCAACCCAGAATCTTAGTTAGCTTCCACTCCACCCCACAAAAAATAATGTAACAAATTGCAGATTTTATATTTCAAAAACCATTATATATATATATATATTTTTATGAGTATTTTAGTATGAAGTTATGATACCGAGTCATAGTACAATGCAGGTCATACCTAACCCAAAATATAAATGAGATCACGAGAGTTATATTATAATTGAAGTGAAATAAATACATATTACTACTACGGCACTGTCATCAAAGATAGTAGTGGCTTCGTGGTGGGGCTTCCACGGCACCGCCATGAATATACCACCATCAACATCGGTCGCCGTTTCAGTGCAATGCTTGTAGGATGAGCAGCGTGGCAGACCGAGTAGATCATTGATTCCAAAACATGCTTGCTATGATGTAGTACTTTAGGCAAGTATTTGCATAATAATTAATTAGGAATAAAAAAAGAGAAAGTAAAGCCGGATATACTGCATGATTAGAGCCGTTGCTAAGAGAGAATTATTTTCTTATTACAAATGATAAAATAAGGTTGATAATTCAATTATATTAAAGAGAAAATTGTAATAATGATTATTTAATTTTAATTTAATTGGAGCAATGATTTATTGACTAAAAATTCGTGACTATGTTCTGTTAACACATCAATACATGCACCTATGATTATTTTCGTCAACTCTGTCAAAATGAGTCATGTTAGAAAAATCATTGTTACAATTGTGTTAAAGTTGTAGGATCATTGCTCAAATTAGGTTAAAGTTGAGGGACCATTTCTCTAATTGGGTTAAAGTTGAGAGACCACTGCTACAAATTTCTTATTTGGTTTTCTATATTTGCCTCTCAATTCAGCCTCACATGCGTGATAGATGACTCATTTTGACATTAATTCTAACAGAGTTATGGAAAAGAATCATAGATGTATGTTTTGATGGGTTAAAAAATCAATGATCACGAATTTTTAATTGAAACACAATTTACACAATTTCCTCGGGATGCCCAAAAACAATTTATGGTGATTTGCAGGTGATTCCTTTTACAAAAAGGAAAAACAGAGGAAGGAAGTGGACTGTTTTGTTTGTATACAATGACCATATGGGACTACAAGCAGGACTGTATGAGGTCTGCTGCAGACCAAAGGGAGTGAAATTTTAAATTTGATGGTCCATACTTCATATGGACCTAGAACTTGCCAACCCCACCATGAATCAAAGAGATTTTTCAGTGTATTCGAAACACAGAGGGGTTTTGAGCTAGCAAGCAAATTTTGTCTTTCAACGAGTGCAAATTGTTCTTGTTGACATGTCGATAACAATATCCTTCTAATTTTTAGCTCGTGAACTCTTCTAATAGTTACTCCCGTCTTTCAATTTAACTTCGAATTATAGTATTGATCTTTCCTAATCGTTTAAAAAAATGCAACTCAAGGTACAATTCAAGAACGGATCCAGTAGTGTTTGTAATATATTGAGGTAGGTAGCAAGGGTTTGTACTTTGTACTGGGACAGCCTGGTGCCGATCCCATCTTTGTTTCAATAAGTTAATCTTGTCAGCATTCAGCTTTGTATGGACTGCAGATTGCAGAGTTGGTGGTATAAATATTTGCAATTAAGGGTTCTGGGTCCTATATCCGTCACACGTGTATGTACACACGTTTATGACCAGTCTAAAGATGCCCTGCTCACATGCATGAATCATGGTCATCGTCAATAAACAAGTTTTTTACTCTAAAGTTCTAAACTCAAAGTTTCAAAATTGTTTAATTTTTTTAACAATCGATACATGTATATGAAAAGATATGGAATAAATTATTATCAAATTTGTCAAATACGAAATTCGAACTTTTGGGACCAGGATCGTTCGGAGGTCGAGAAACAAGCATGTGAAGGTCCTCCAAGGACCCTCTGAATGTATGCTAAGCATATACGGGAAGCACTCAGCAGGTTGCATTGACAACGCTCGATAAATGCTCTCGATAGCACTCATCAAATTGATTC